TTCTTCTAGTGGTTGACCTTCCAGCTTGATCTCTCCAGGTGGGCACCATGCGTTCCTCATGCTCTGAGTCTTTTTCATCTCGAGGCCAATCTTCTTGCTGACTCGGTCGAGGTCTTCTAGCATCCGTTGGGCTTCTTCTGGCGCTTGATCGGGATGTGGACTTCCCTCTCGAACATCTCGATCAGTTGGGTGACGGCTTGCATGTGGTCGATCACCGAGAAGTTCTTGCGGAAGCCGGCCTGCTCCACTGGCTGGTAGTCGTCGAGTTTCCGCTCTATTCGTTGTTGGAGAATCTTCGTGTAGAGCTTGTACAGGACCGATAGCAGAGATATTGGCCTGTAGTTTCCGATGTCTTCTTTGTCTCCTTTCTTGTATCCTCTGGTTGTGGAGGTAGGTGGCGAAGCGTTCGGCCAGCAGCTTGTGTATGTCTTCTCCTCCAGCCTTGAGTAGCTCTATCTTGATGTTGTCTGGCCCTGGTGCTGTTCCAGTCTTGGTAGTGGCGATGGCTGCTCTGATTTCGGCTGGGAGGACTGTCGGTATTTCTTCTGTGGCGGCTGGTACTTGCGGTGGTGGGTGGGTGCCTGTCGACGAGTAGAGGTCGGTGTAGAAGTCTTGGACAATCTTCTCCATCGCCGCTGAGTTGGTTGCGACATGCTTTGTCAGCTGCCCTTCGTTCCAGCTCTGTGGAGTTGGTGTCGTTCTTGATGTGGATCCTCATCTTGAGTAGCTCCTTGGTCGCGTCTGAGATCCTCTGGTCTTTGGTCTGTGGTACACTGCACTTCTTCTCGCATTCCTTGAGGTTCTTGACCAGGGTGTCGTAGTTCTCGTTGTGGTTTCCCGATTGTTTCCAATCCTTATCCCTGAGGAGTTGTGGTAGTGTCGAGAAGTCGTGGGCGAGCTACTTCTCCTTTCGTGGTCGGTGGAGGATCTTCTTTGCCATTTGTTCGCTCAGTTTCACTTTTGCTCGCACGAGTCGATGGTCGGAGCCGGTGATGAAGGGCACCACGCCGACGTCTAGAAGCGTCCATTTCCTTGAGGTCTTCTTCTTGAACTGAGAGTTCCCGTGAGTGAGTCTTGCTGACCATAGTAGCGAAACGATAACGGTCGCCGTTATCGTTTCGTGTGCCGAACTTTCCGACCCTCCCGATACCGCTGTTCCCGATGATCGCGTTGAAGTCTCCGAGCACGAACTTGTAGAAGCTCCTGTCTTTCTTGAGTGTTGCATCGAGGTCTTCGTAGAAGGCTTCTCGTTCGTCTTCCGCGGCTGCGGAGGCATAGCAGCTGTAGACGGCGATGTCGCGGTTTCTCGGCGGCTTGAGGTGGAGGACTGCGAGTCGTGGAGAGATGATCTCATGGCTGTCGACGAGTGGCACGATGTCCTTGTTGACCAGGAAGCCTACTCCTCCGATGTTCTTGTTGGTGACTTTGTGTCCGCGCAGGTCGCCATTCGCCTGTGTCTTCCTGGAGTCGTCTTTGGCCTTCGTTTCTTGGAGGGCGGTGATATCGAATTTGATCTTCTTGCTCATCTCATGGAGTGCGGTCTTATCGGCTTGCGAGGCGACTGTCCTGGCGTTGAAAGTGCAGAGTCGAAGGTTTGGGCTTTGTCGTCGTGTTCCGTTCCTTGGTCCGTTAGCCATATGGCATAGCAGCTCCATATGGGATAGCTGATGTCCCGAGATTGGATCGCCTCTCGGCCTTTGCTTGATCCCTTGATGCCGGAAGAGAGCAGGGTACTGAGGCAGAAGTGTAGTTGTCGTAGCCGATGATACTCCGATGGCCGGGCTGGGGCGCTCGGAGGGGAACCCACAAAAGTCGAACCCACGACTATCCCGCGCCGACGTTGCTTAACTTGGCAGATCGGACGGGATAGACCGCAGACCCTTCCTCTTCTAGGCCCCTATGGAAAGATTTAATATTTTAATCTTCAAAATTAAATTAGCAGGGCCGCGCGAACGCAGCCCCTCACGCAAAAATTTAGCTGTTAGCGAACCCCAACTCGGAGCTGCCACACAGGTCAACACAATCAAAAGTGCAATGACCACGTCAACAACAATAAATGACCGAAAAACAATAAGCAAAAGCAACAGCAATACAACGGTCGATTAACAAATTAACCAAAAAAACAATTCTTAATCCAACTTGGTTGTTGTTGTTTGAGCACCATTCGATTCGTGCACTTAGGGATGCATCCGGCCAACGACTTCCAGCGCCCACGACTCTGAAGGGGTTCAAGAGAGGTACACCATCAGCTGCTCTATTAGTTGTGGCTCCAGCACGAAGTGAATGTGAAGAGAAGCTTTGAAATCCCAACTTTTTGAAAAGGTCGTCGATCGCTCTAGCAGCCGTTTGTTTGTCCAAATGTTTTCCTTTGTCACGACGAGGGAAAACGAAGATCGACTCCTTTTTGTCACACCACTTCTGTAGCATTTGAGCGGTGGGATGAGATGAATGTGGAATACCCCTCTCCTTGTTGGTCGTGCCTTCCCAACTAGCGCCCTCCAGATTCCACGATCGTTTATCTCGCTTACATCAATCTATTGGCAGGGCCGCGCGAACGCAGCCCCTCACGCAAAAATTTAGCTGTTAGCGAACCCCAAATCGGAGCTGGTCAACGCAGTCAAGAAGTGCAATAACCGCGTCTCACCATAGGGATTCCGTCTTTGTGATGACGAAAGCCCCCCAGCCATGTAAGGGCCTAAATTAGCGGCGAGATTACGGTATTTTTGAAAGTTGGTACGTTTTAGGAAAGGGGTAGTCAAAGTACAAGTAGGTTTGCTAAATCTAGTAGATAATTTGCTTTGGTGTTTTTTCAAAAGTTTAAAGCGTTTAATTTGAGTTTAAACATTTCAGCTTACACCTATCCACGACAAGATTCCAGCAGGCAGCTCTATGGAAATTGGGGGTACAACTACAATTCGTGAGACAAATTTCCTTCTATTTAGTGTTATCAGTTCTTTAGCGATTCACAATGGAAATACAGACGACCAGAGAATCCAATTTATCGACAATCGAACGCTTTCTACGGTAAATGGCCGAATAGTTACTCGGGTATTGCCTTGAGTAGTGAAAAATGGTATCATTGCAGAATTCGCAACTTATAATGTGCTACAGTACCCGATTTTTGTAGTAAAGTTAAGTTAAGTTTTATAGTTAAGAAATATTTATTGCTCATTGAATTCTATTTTTCAGATCGACAGCATTGGGCAGGGAAAAACCGTTTCGGGAGCAAAATCAAGCACTTAACTAATGCTGATTTGAAAGGATATGGTGCTACTTTAGAGAAGCATGATCCAGCGATCAATCCGGAAATCTTGATGGTCAGTCTGAGTACCTGTATATAGTGTATTCATGAAGGCCTAATCAGCGGCCTAAACAATCAACTAATCAGCTAATTTTCAGGAAAAATCACGAATCACCACTAAAATACCGTTCAAAACACATTCAAACGCTGAAGGAAAGCATGCTGTAAAGAGGTGAGAAATAATTTGACTATTAAATTCTATATTGTCTATTTTTTGGTTGAAAGTTGAGCAATTTCAGCGATGAATTCGTTAGCGGAACCTCGGAGATACGGGAGAATAAAAAGATGAAAGCAAAGGCTCGATTTGGAGACTATGAGGATACGGTAGCGAAAAGTGACACCCAAGTAGGCTAAAAAAGTTCTGAAACGCTAAAAAAGGCGGATGTTTTCACTTTTTTGTACTCGGATACGTTATATTGTTATTTTATGCGCAGGCTTAGGCTAAGGCTTAGGCTTAGGCAAATGATCGAAACAGGTGAAAAGCAGATAAAACAAAAAAGCAAAAGAGAATTTCGGCTTGGGACTCGAGCAGACGAGCTTGGATTAGCTATCAGCGCCTTAAACCAGACTATGAAGAGAATTTGCTGCCCCTTGGCTAGTGCTAATGTCCCTGGGCCAAGCTCTGTCTACTATTGGAAAATTCATCAAAAAATTGTACCGTAATTTTGCTCTACCCTATTCCAAGTTGCCGAGTTTTGACACTCAAATTTTTCTGCCGTTTTTCGGCAATTTGGTGGAAAGAGGGAAAAGCGGAAAAACGATAACCCTGCTTTCAAATAAGATTTCCACAAAGATTAATAAAAAGCTTTCAGAAAAAGATGCAATATAATCCAAAGAAGAAAGAAAAACAGCGAACATTTGGAGACTATGAAGACACAATTTCAGAAATGGATTTAAAGGTGAATGAAATCTTTGAAGATTGATCAGGAAAGATTCTAGAAAAAGGGAAAGCCTAGTCACAAAGAAGCACAAAGTAAAGATTCGAAGCTCGAGTTTGGGGACTATGAGGAGAATGTATCAAGAATTGATCTTCAGGTAAAACTACAAGTTTCTCAGAAAAGAAGAATCTTGTGCAGCTAAAAATAGAAATTTTAGAAAGCTCACAAGTACTCTGGGCGAAAAGGAGGATCAAGTGAATCACGACAACGAGAGCAAAAACCTCTAGGTAAGTGATGAGGAACTCATCAGCATCTCAAAGTACTATGAAGCAATAATTTGATCCAAGAGTCTTCAGAATTCAAAAGCTACAAAGACTTTTGCGAGTTGTTTTCAGATTTGAATGAAAAGAAGCAAAACTTGGAACTGATTTCGGAGTTCGTTCCGATTGGGCATGATACAAGTGCCAAGCAACGCTTGCGGACTGGAGTTCATAAGAAAAAGTGAGATTTATGAGTGAGATAAGATCATTCTAGAATTTAGATTGCTAAATCCTGCTCCAAGTACTGTAGCTTCAACTTCTCACTAGAGTGTGTTATTCTTTCAACCCTTTTCTTTTCAGATTCCGTGGTTGGACAATTCAATGGGATCGAATTAGATGAAAATATTACCCTCCAACAGAGGGAAAACTAGATCTCACTAAGTGTTAAAGTGTATAAAGGTTGAAGTTAATCTCTTCAATAAATGCACAAAAACTTGTAAAGAAAAAGTCGAAAAACAATTTATTAGCACATATTTAAGAAGAGTTTATTATTGGATCTTACGGACCATTCTGGCACGGTGAGAAGCCACAACCATTTCCGGTTTTTGCCTAGAATCAACAGCTTTTCAATGCAGTTGTCAACGGGCAGTTTTTCTCTTTCTTTCTCTTTTCAAGAACTTACCGTGATCACTTCACAGAGAGTCGCACAAACCACCCAAGTTGGTAGCATGTTTTCCCATTGTCCCAGCGGATACGTGCCACCAGCTGGATCTGTGGACGCAATGTAGAACTGAAAGAAATATTTTGATCAGAGCAGAGCAAATACAAAACTTGGACCTATTGTTTACCCGCAACCCTTCACCAATAAGTTCAAATCAATGCAAGTTCTTTTATATTTTAAGAGCTTATTTTTATGTTCTACATTCACGTTTACAAATTCTTAGTTAGTCACAGTTTTATGCGTGCTCTCAATTCGGATCTAACAATACCGTTGCACTGCTGGCTGCATCTGTTTCTGCTGGACTGTTTCCGTTTGGCTCTCCTGGGGCCCAGTTTCTGAAAACGCCGGATAAAAACACGGAAAATGTACAAAACCGATAAGTCGAGTTGGCACCATTTGACCAGGCAACCCCACTCGTCGTTGTCACATTGTTAATTCCCAATAACATTTGCTAAAGCTCAAAGTTAAAAAGAAATTTTGAAGACAACTCACACTATAAAAGAAATTTCCAAACGTTGAACATTGAGTCTTCAAAGCAGCTGGTACAAGATCTAAGACCTATTTTCAAAACAATCACCACTCAATCACTAACTGGCAACTCCTGTATTCTCCGAATCACATCGAATCGTGCCCAAGTCAGCATTGGGATTCAATGCCTGACATTTGGCTCTAGCTCCACCAATGTAAGAGTCATTGATGAAGATTGCTTGGTAACACGATCCACCGACATCAATGAAGCCACCACCAACAGCTGCACAATCGGCATAGGTTGTGGTGGGTACCTGGAGATGTTGATCCTTTTGCTTTCAAATAGGCTAGAGCCATTCTTGAGAAGCTACTTAAGCAACCTCATTTATTATGTGAAACATAACAACCTAATTGCCTATATTCTGTTTACCGAAGTTGTGACACATGGTAGCGCTGGTGTCGTTGTGGTCGTAGTTGTGGTTGTTGTCGTTTTCTTTGTGGTTGTCGTTTTTGTCGCCGCGGTACACGGCCGCAATCCACAACCAGTTCCCGTCTTTGCCTGAAATCGAATGGTACTGGGTAGACTTGTCTAACGGTACTTAGAGTCCACTTAATTCAATATCTTTGGGTTTTGTTTCGGCGACTCACCGTGATCACTTCACAGAGAGCAGCACAAACCACCCAATCTGGTGGCGTGTTTTCCCATTTTCCCAGTGGATACGTCACTCCACCAGCTGGATTTGTTGACGCAATGTAGAGCTGAAAGAGGATTTTTGATGATAACAGAGCAAATACAAGTGCTAGTTCATTACAACTGGTACAGTTAAAGTCCTTTAGAAACGTGTTAGTGTCGATACCGTTGCACTGCTGACTGCATCGACCGGACTTCCGTTTGGCTCTCCTGGGGCCCAGTTGCTAAAAAACTTTCACAAAAAGCACTCGTAAATGTGAAACCGATAAGTCGTATTGGCTCCATTCGTCCAGGAAATTCCACTAGTTCTTGTCACATTATTGATTCCCAACAACAGTTGCTAAAACTCAGTTGCTAAAGTTCGATCGCACTTGCTAATCGACTCACACTGTGGAAGAACTCTCCAAACGATAAACATTGAGTCTTCAGAGCAGCCGACACAACACCTAGAAGCCATTTGAGTGAATCAAAGACTGGAGACAAACCAGAAGCTCCCGTGTTCTCCGCATCACATCGAATCGTGGCCAAGTCCGCATCCACATGAGCAGCCTTACATTTGGCTCTTGCTCCAGCATAATCGGCATTCACATAAATTGCCTTGTAACACGATCCACCAACAGCTTTGAAGCCAGCACCAACAGCGGCACAATTCGCATATTTTGTGGATGAGGCCTAGGAAGAGATGTTTTTGAGAGACTTCACATCACTTACATAATGAGTGAAGCACGGTAGAGCTGGGGTCTTTGTGGTCGGCTTCTTCGTTGTCTTCGTTGTGGCCCTTGTCGTAGCCTTTTTGGTTGTTGTCTTAAATAGTTCTTTAGCTACAAATTAGTGTAGGTTAGTTTAATGGGGAAAAGTAAACAGTGTACTCTAGTAAACAGTGTACTTGTAAGTTGCAAGTATGTGTAACCATAGAACTCGGATGCTTTCAAATGTTTCCCTAACTCTTCCAACAAACCGTGCATAAGGGCATTTGCAAAACGGGATCCTGGGGCAGGCCGACACCGCAAAGCCTTTTGCCAGTCACAAGATTCGTCACCTAATCCAAAAAGTGATTGGCTCTTAACATAAGGCTCTAACCGCTTTTGTGTCCAATGCACACACATCTCCTGGACAGGCGAGTTTGGGACAATGAATCGTTCTTGTTGAGGAGCCGCTAAATGAATGGAGATATTGATGGATGTTAGAGTCGGAGTGGTAGACGAGGTAGAGTGAAGCGACTTAAAAACTCACGTGCATTTGTGGCCTTTGCTTTGAGACAAGCAAGTTCTGTTCTGAGTGACCATTCCGTTGAGTCCACAGGTTGCCGTGCATGGTGCCATCGATTTCCAGCCACTCCAAATGCCAAGATTTGGAAAAGCACAGTGTGCGAGGACTTCTGAAAGCATTTCTTTCAGATCTACCTTCAATGTATTACTTGTGATTCGACACTTTGGCATCACATAGTCACTCGGCAGAGACACATTTCCACAGAGAACTTGATTGAGTTTGGAGTTGGGGTACTGAAATGGTAAATTCTGTCTTTTTTAGCTGTCTGGTAGAACTTCAGCCAATAAACGAAAAACTTACGAGTGAATATCCCTCAGCACAGGCATTCGAGCCATCAGGACATGGCTTCGGAGCACATGGTCTTGTTCGAGAATATGGTCCCCTGGAAAGATTTGAATGGTTGTTTTTTGTTCAGTTACTCACTTGCATGGACATCCCCATTTCCATGAGAGACACGTCCTCTTTTGAACTTTTCTTCCGAATAAACCACACGTGCCTGTACAGCTCGTATAGTCTTCCCACCTTGACCAGTGGCCTGGAATTTGTTGCTTGATCACTTGTTGATGTTTTTGTTAAGTTTAAAAGATTTACCAGCTGCTGGACACTTTGAACAAATGGGGAGAGAGGCTAGCGTGGTGCTTGCTGAAAGATCACTAACATCGCTGTGTTCATCTTGAGTTGTAATTTAGCTAGCTAAGGAGAATAATCAGAAGTTAACTTCAAGTTACTTACACAAAGTCTGGTGTACTGCTTCAGTTCTTCAGTAGCCCTTGAAACAAGAGTTACTTGCAAGTTACTTTCTTACTTGTTACAAGCTTTTCAGAACTGACGATAGATTACAAGTTGCATATTTAGATGACACTACAATTATAGTGTCTTATGTTTATAAAGAAGCTGTTCACCTCAAAACCTACCATATAGCCCGATCACAGCACAGATGATGAGCATGTTGGAATGAGCAATAAGTTGATCGAGTGACTCTTGTCTAGGTGACTCTGATGACTGATCTACATGCCTTTGACGCCTTTCACCCCTTTTATAGATGAATTTGAAACGGATTTTGAACCTCAATAGCAAATTTGATTCAAATTCAAAGTCCATTGTTATAAAGTCCATTGAAAGGGACTACAATAGCCCGAAAAGGAGTCTAGAATTTGATTGATTTTCGATCACCGCTAATTTTGAAACTGGAAAATTTTGCTTCCCAGTCAGGACAATGACTTTTATAACAATGGAATGAAAAGGAACAATTGATTTTTTTAAAAATTCAATCGGAATGGTGTAATTTCAGCGCCAGGATTGACCAGGAAGGAGATTTTTCATCGTGCAAGCTTCTACGGACTGTCAAATAGACTGGGACATTGTTTGAACTCACGCAGCCAATGGATTTTATGAAAGACTATAGACATTTGTGTTCTATCTTTTGCTAAGGTCGCACTTTGATAACCGGGAAAGCACCCAGAACGAGAATCTTAAATGTCGTTGATTAAACGATAAATTTAATTTCAGCCATATATGCGCTGTTATGTTATACTATACGTCGGCTGTTATACTATTCTTTGGTGTCCACGTTCAAAGCATCACCACAATGGATCAACAACTTCAAGAGGATTGCTGGAGTCGTACCCGCCGCGTTACCGCGATCAAGAACTTCCGGGCAAAGGCGGACATAGAAGGTGAGGCCAACAACTTGGTGAATAATGTGAGGGCCGACCTTCAAGCAAACGTCGTCCTACGCTCCTGTCTTGCCAATGCCGATCAATCAGGCTTTTTGAAAGAACAGCACTCATCTCGATCCCTAGCCTACCATGGAGAGAAGAAAGTCATCCGCATGATTGGTGCATGTAATAAGATTTGATTGGTGCATGTAATAAGATAAATTGCGATAATATGCCGTACATTCGTTGTGCTTATTGTCTGAATATATTCTCCTTCCTTCATTTTGTCGAATCTTTCCACCGTTGTTGAATTGTTTGTTATTTCTTAGTTTTAAATAAAGTTTTGTTATCCTCACCTTTTATGGTAAAAAAAATCAGAATTAACTTTGAGAAGCGAAAAAAATAGAACGCACATTAAAAGTTTTGCAAAAAAAGAAAAACTTTTGGGGTGGAGCCGAACCAGCGACACTCGGACTACTAGGTCGCGCTCCTAACCACTCGGCCACTCGGCTAACCTGTGAGAGTGCCTGTGAGAGTTCCCTTTAAAGAGTGCCGTGCAAGTCCCAAAAATGTTTAAGTTTAAGCTACTTTGAACTTTGAACTTTGAAACCTTATATTTCAGTTAGTTCTGGCATTTAGCAGCTAAAAATCTCAGAAAATTCTTCTTTTGTGATGATCTTTCCCCCCTGTAATTTTGGAGTCGATCTGAGGTGGTAAGTAGTTGTAGTTCCCTCGTTAGCACTGTTGTATGATCAACCCCTAACTCTTCTCTCAATTCACGCGATGCCACCCGATGGTCGTTGATAATGAGTTCGAGTAATTTGGAATCATCCAGTTGGGGTGCCGCTCCACGACCGTCTGCATCTTTCAAAGATCTGTCCCCAGAACGCAACTTGGTAAACCATACTTGCCACCTCTGCAAAATTTGATTCAAATTGAAAGTCCATTGAAAGGGACTACAATAGCCCGGAAAAGAGCCTAAAATTTGGTTGCTTTTCGATCACCGCTAATTTTGAAACTGGAAAATTTTGCTTCCGAGTCAGGACAATGACTTTTATAACAATGGAATGTAAAGGGATATTTTAGTCGGGATATTTTAATTTCAGCGCCAGGATTGACCAGGAAGGAGATTTTTCATCGTGCAAGCTTCTACGGACTGTCAAATAGACTGGGACATTGTTTGATGGATTTTATCAAAGACTATAGACATTTGTGTTCTATCTTTTGTTAGGGGCGGACTTCGATAACCGGCAAAGGACCCAGAACGAGAATTTTAAATGTCGTTGATTAGACGATAAATTTAATTTCAGCCATATATGCGCTGTTATGTTATCCTATACGTATGCTCTGGCGCCGCTACTGCCAACACTCAAAAACAGATAAAGGCAAGTGTCATCAACATCTGACAGACGATTAGGTCAACTAACTTTATCATGTGTAACTTCACTTGCTGATTGGCGATTGTCACGATAGTGGAACCTGCCAATAGTTTTTTGGTGAAATGTGACTAATTCATGAGAAACGAACTTCTGCCTTTCTGAATACTTGTGCCTTTTTTGTTGTATAGTGAAAATTGATCGTTTGGCTACGGTAGTTTTCAAGAAAATGTGCAGAAAAGACCAAGAAAAGGTCTTTTCTTGGCCATTTCACCAAAAAGTCTTGAGCAAGTCTCCTGGGCAAGGCTTGTCTTTGAATTCTCGTTCCGGGTTCTTTCCCGGTTCTCGTTCCGGGTCCTTTATCAAAGTCCGCCCCTAACAAAGGATAGAACACAAATGTCTATAGTCTTTCATAAAATCCATTGACTGCGTGAGTTCAAACAATGTCCCAGTCTATTTGACAGTCCGTAGAAGCTTGCACGATGAAAAATCTCCTTCCTGGTCAATCCTGGCGCTGAAATTACACCATTCCGATTGAATTTTTAAAAAAATCAATTGTTCCTTTTCATTCCATTGTTATAAAAGTCATTGTCCTGACTGGGAAGCAAAATTTTCCAGTTTCAAAATTCACGTTGATCGAAAATCGATCACCTCGACTTTTGATCGGGCTATTGTAGTCCCTTTCAATGGACTTTATAACAATGGACTTTGAATTTGAATCAAATTTGCTATTGAGGTTCAAAATCCGTTTCGAATTCATCTATAAAAGGGGTGAAAGGCGTCAAAGGCATGTAGATCAGTCATCAGAGTCACCTAGACAAGAGTCACTCGATCAACTTATTGCTCATTCCAACATGCTCATCATCTGTGCTGTGATCGGGCTATATGGTAGGTTTTGAGGTGAACAGCTTCTTTATAAACATAAGACACTATAATTGTAGTGTCATCTAAATATGCAACTTGTAATCTATCGTCAGTTCTGAAAAGCTTGTAACAAGTAAGAAAGTAACTTGCAAGTAACTCTTGTTTCAAAGGTTACTGGAGAATTGAGGCAGTACACCAGACTTTGTGTAAGTAACCTGAGATTTAGAATAGCTATGTCAGCTGTCAGCTTAACTTGAAGTTAACCTCTGATTATTCTCCTTAGCTAGCTAAATTACAACTCAAGATGAACAACACAGTTATGTTAGTGATCTTTCAGCAAGCACCACGCTAGCCTCTCTCCCCATTTGTTCAAAGTGTCCAGCAGCTGGTAAATCTTTTAAACTTAACAAAAACATCAACATTACATCAAGCAACAAATTCCAGGCCACTGGTCAAGGTGGGAAGACTATACGAGCTGTACAGGCACGTGTGGTTTATTCGGAAGAAAGGTTCAAAAGAGGACGTGTCTCTCATGGAAATGGGGATGTCCATGCAAGTGAGTAACTGAACAATTTTGTGTACCTTTAAAAAACAACCATTCAAATCTTTCCAGGGGACCATATTCTCGAACAAGACCATGTGCTCCGAAGCCATGTCCTGATGGCTCGAATGCCTGTGCTGAGGGATATTCACTCGTAAGCTTTCGGTTTATTGGCTAAAGTTCTACCAGACAGCTAAAAAGACAGAATTTACCATTTCAGTACCCCAACTCCAAACTCAATCAAGTTCTCTGTGGAAATGTGTCTCTGCCGAGTGACTATGTGATGCCAAAGTGTCGAATCACAAGTAATACATTGAAGGTAGATCTGAAAGAAATGCTTTCAGAAGTCCTCGCACACTGTGCTTTTCCAAATCTTGGCATTTGGAGTGGCTGGAAATCGATGGCACCATGCACGGCAACCTGTGGACTCAACGGAATGGTCACTCAGAACAGAACTTGCTTGTCTCAAAGCAAAGGCCACAAATGCACGTGAGTTTTTAAGTCGCTTCACTCTACCTCGTCTACCACTCCGACTCTAACATCCATCAATATCTCCATTCATTTAGCGGCTCCTCAACAAGAACGATTCATTGTCCCAAACTCGCCTGTCCAGGAGATGTGTGTGCATTGGACACAAAAGCGGTTAGAGCCTTATGTTAAGAGCCAATCACTTTTTGGATTAGGTGACGAATCTTGTGACTGGCAAAAGGCTTTGCGGTGTCGGCCTGCCCCAGGATCCCGTTTTGCAAATGCCCTTATGCACGGTTTGTTGGAAGAGTTAGGGAAACATTTGAAAGCATCCGAGTTCTATGGTTACACATACTTGCAACTTACAAGTACACTGTTTACTAGAGTACACTGTTTACTTTTCCCCATTAAACTAACCTACACTAATTTGTAGCTAAAGAACTATTTAAGACAACAACCAAAAAGGCTACGACAAGGGCCACAACGAAGACAACGAAGAAGCCGACCACAAAGACCCCAGCTCTACCGTGCTTCACTCATTATGTAAGTGATGTGAAGTCTCTCAAAAAACATCTCTTCCTAGGCCTCATCCACAAAATATGCGAATTGTGCCGCTGTTGGTGCTGGCTTCAAAGCTGTTGGTGGATCGTGTTACAAGGCAATTTATGTGAATGCCGATTATGCTGGAGCAAGAGCCAAATGTAAGGCTGCTCATGTGGATGCGGACTTGGCCACGATTCGATGTGATGCGGAGAACACGGGAGCTTCTGGTTTGTCTCCAGTCTTTGATTCACTCAAATGGCTTCTAGGTGTTGTGTCGGCTGCTCTGAAGACTCAATGTTTATCGTTTGGAGAGTTCTTCCACAGTGTGAGTCGATTAGCAAGTGCGATCGAACTTTAGCAACTGAGTTTTAGCAACTGTTGTTGGGAATCAATAATGTGACAAGAACTAGTGGAATTTCCTGGACGAATGGAGCCAATACGACTTATCGGTTTCACATTTACGAGTGCTTTTTGTGAAAGTTTTTTAGCAACTGGGCCCCAGGAGAGCCAAACGGAAGTCCGGTCGATGCAGTCAGCAGTGCAACGGTATCGACACTAACACGTTTCTAAAGGACTTTAACTGTACCAGTTGTAATGAACTAGCACTTGTATTTGCTCTGTTATCATCAAAAATCCTCTTTCAGCTCTACATTGCGTCAACAAATCCAGCTGGTGGAGTGACGTATCCACTGGGAAAATGGGAAAACACGCCACCAGATTGGGTGGTTTGTGCTGCTCTCTGTGAAGTGATCACGGTGAGTCGCCGAAACAAAACCCAAAGATATTGAATTAAGTGGACTCTAAGTACCGTTAGACAAGTCTACCCAGTACCATTCGATTTCAGGCAAAGACGGGAACTGGTTGTGGATTGCGGCCGTGTACCGCGGCGACAAAAACGACAACCACAAAGAAAACGACAACAACCACAACTACGACCACAACGACACCAGCGCTACCATGTGTCACAACTTCGGTAAACAGAATATAGGCAATTAGGTTGTTATGTTTCACATAATAAATGAGGTTGCTTAAGTAGCTTCTCAAGAATGGCTCTAGCCTATTTGAAAGCAAAAGGATCAACATCTCCAGGTACCCACCACAACCTATGCCGATTGTGCAGCTGTTGGTGGTGGCTTCATTGATGTCGGTGGATCGTGTTACCAAGCAATCTTCATCAATGACTCTTACATTGGTGGAGCTAGAGCCAAATGTCAGGCATTGAATCCCAATGCTGACTTGGGCACGATTCGATGTGATTCGGAGAATACAGGAGTTGCCAGTTAGTGATTGAGTGGTGATTGTTTTGAAAATAGGTCTTAGATCTTGTACCAGCTGCTTTGAAGACTCAATGTTCAACGTTTGGAAATTTCTTTTATAGTGTGAGTTGTCTTCAAAATTTCTTTTTAACTTTGAGCTTTAGCAAATGTTATTGGGAATTAACAATGTGACAACGACGAGTGGGGTTGCCTGGTCAAATGGTGCCAACTCGACTTATCGGTTTTGTACATTTTCCGTGTTTTTATCCGGCGTTTTCAGAAACTGGGCCCCAGGAGAGCCAAACGGAAACAGTCCAGCAGAAACAGATGCAGCCAGCAGTGCAACGGTATTGTTAGATCCGAATTGAGAGCACGCATAAAACTGTGACTAACTAAGAATTTGTAAACGTGAATGTAGAACATAAAAATAAGCTCTTAAAATATAAAAGAACTTGCATTGATTTGAACTTATTGGTGAAGGGTTGCGGGTAAACAATAGGTCCAAGTTTTGTATTTGCTCTGCTCTGATCAAAATATTTCTTTCAGTTCTACATTGCGTCCACAGATCCAGCTGGTGGCACGTATCCGCTGGGACAATGGGAAAACATGCTACCAACTTGGGTGGTTTGTGCGACTCTCTGTGAAGTGATCACGGTAAGTTCTTGAAAAGAGAAAGAAAGAGAAAAACTGCCCGTTGACAACTGCATTGAAAAGCTGTTGATTCTAGGCAAAAACCGGAAATGGTTGTGGCTTCTCACCGTGCCAGAATGGTCCGTAAGATCCAATAATAAACTCTTCTTAAATATGTGCTAATAAATTGTTTTTCGACTTTTTCTTTACAAGTTTTTGTGCATTTATTGAAGAGATTAACTTCAACCTTTATACACTTTAACACTTAGTGAGATCTAGTTTTCCCTCTGTTGGAGGGTAATATTTTCATCTAATTCGATCCCATTGAATTGTCCAACCACGGAATCTGAAAAGAAAAGGGTTGAAAGAATAACACACTCTAGTGAGAAGTTGAAGCTACAGTACTTGGAGCAGGATTTAGCAATCTAAATTCTAGAATGATCTTATCTCACTCATAAATCTCACTTTTTCTTATGAACTCCAGTCCGCAAGCGTTGCTTGGCACTTGTATCATGCCCAATCGGAACGAACTCCGAAATCAGTTCCAAGTTTTGCTTCTTTTCATTCAAATCTGAAAACAACTCGCAAAAGTCTTTGTAGCTTTTGAATTCTGAAGACTCTTGGATCAAATTATTGCTTCATAGTACTTTGAGATGCTGATGAGTTCCTCATCACTTACCTAGAGGTTTTTGCTCTCGTTGTCGTGATTCACTTGATCCTCCTTTTCGCCCAGAGTACTTGTGAGCTTTCTAAAATTTCTATTTTTAGCTGCACAAGATTCTTCTTTTCTGAGAAACTTGTAGTTTTACCTGAAGATCAATTCTTGATACATTCTCCTCATAGTCCCCAAACTCGAGCTTCGAATCTTTACTTTGTGCTTCTTTGTGACTAGGCTTTCCCTTTTTCTAGAATCTTTCCTGATCAATCTTCAAAGATTTCATTCACCTTTAAATCCATTTCTGAAATTGTGTCTTCATAGTCTCCAAATGTTCGCTGTTTTTCTTTCTTCTTTGGATTATATTGCATCTTTTTCTGAAAGCTTTTTATTAATCTTTGTGGAAATCTTATTTGAAAGCAGGGTTATCGTTTTTCCGCTTTTCCCTCTTTCCACCAAATTGCCGAAAAACGGCAGAAAAATTTGAGTGTCAAAACTCAGCAAATAGAGTAGAGCAAAATTGGGGTTACGGTACAATTTTTTGATGATTTTTCATTAGTAGACTGATCTTGGCCCCAGCGATAGTAACACTAGCCAAGGGGCAGCAAGTTCTCTTCATAATCTGGCTTAAGGCGCTGGAAGCCAATCCAAGCTCGTCTATTCGAGTCCCAAGCCGAAATGTCTCTTTTGCTTTTTTGTTTTATCTGCTTTTCACTTGTTTCGATCATTTGAGAGTATAAAATAACAATATAACGTATCGGAGTACAAAAAAGTGAAAACATCAGCCTTTTTTAGCGTTTCAGAACTTTTTTAGCCTACTTGGGTGTCACTTTTCGCTACCGTATCCTCATAGTCTCCAAATCGAGCCTTTGCTTTCATCTTTTTATTCTCCCGTGTCTCCGAGCTTCCGCTAACGAATCCATCACTGAAATTGATTAACTTTCAGCGAAACAATAGACAATATAGATTTCAATAGTTGAATTATTTCTCACGTCTTTACAGCATGCTTTCCTTCAGCGTTTGAATGTGTTTTGAATGGTATTTTAGTGGTCATTCGTGATTTTTCCTGAAAATTTAGGTCGCTGATTAGGCCTTCATGAATACACTAGATGCAGGTACACAGACTAACCATCGAAATTTCCGGATTGATCGCTGGATTATTCTTCAAAAGTCTTGTAACATTTGAAGTATTTTGCTTTTTTTTTTGTTTTTGTTTTTATTTTCTTTTTATATAACAAAAAATTATTTTTTTTAGATGCCTGGACAATACTTGTCAACTCGGGACAAAGAAAAAATTGTGGAAGCGCGAGAGAAAGGAATTGAGAGGAAAGATGTGGCAGCTCTCTTCAAATGCAGTGAAAAAACGGTATCTGTAATTGTCGGGACGTTCAAAACGACTGGATCTGTTCACCGAGCTTCAAAATCAGGCCGTCCACCAATTACAACACCCAGAGAGAATAAAGCGCTCGTCAAAGCTCACCAAAATAACAAGGATCTCAATGCGAGCGATGGAGTCGTCATGACGAAGAGTCAATTCGGCCAGGATGTATCACGAATGACAGTGAGCCGACGCTTGATTCGTGGTGGGTTGGTGACAAGAAGAGCAGCCAAGAAGCCCTTGATGAATGCCAAGCATCGGAAGATTCGTTTGGAGTTTGCAAAGAAGTATGACAAAATGATTGAGCAAATGTGATTTTTACTGATGAGTCAAAAGTCAATCTTTTTCGCCCGGACACTCTCAACTCTGTCTTTCAGGTGCAATATCGAGAAATTCACCAGGTCCGCTAGTGCTACTAAACTCAACGCTCAAAGCTGAAGGCTACAAATCAGTTTTCCAGAATCATCTTCTGATATTTTCAATTGCAAAAATGGGCCCTGGATGGCTGCTTTATCAGGATAATGCCGCTTGCCACAAGAGTCAATTGCTAATGGGCCGGGTCGTCACTCTCGCAAATGGTGGAAAAGCTCGTCTTCCAGGATGGTTCAAAGCAAATCGTGTTCAAATTATCTCAGCTCCTCCATACAGCCCGGATTTGAGCGTCCTTGAGCATCTTTGGGCTTTTTTGAAGTCAAAGCGATTCAACTCGAAGATAGGGGTTTGGTTCTTCATTCGCCGTACCGGGTCATCCCTGGGAGCCCAAATTCTACGCGATTTAGTTGATTCAATGCCAAAGCGAATCCAGGGAGTCATCAAAGCTATAGTGGACCAAGCAAGTATTAAAAATTTGATAATTCCTATGTTTTTTTCCAAATGTTACAAGACTTTTGAGCATCAAAAATACGCCCGTTTTTTGTTTTTTTTAATTTTTGTTAATCGCTTCAATAAAGTTTTTCTTGCATATAAAAATAGAAATTTTTGACAATTGAAAACCAAAAACTGTTTGCGAATTCGCCTCTTTGCAAAAAAGTTATTACACTTTGAAATTTGCTAAACTGGATGTTACAAGACTTTTGTGCATGACTGTATAAGGTGCGAATTCTACAATACAGTCATGGTCAAAAGTCTTGGCGGCTCCTGGGTGACAACTTTCAAACGCAAGTTTAGGAACCTTTCCGAGAGGCTATAAAAAGTTGACACAAGTATTTTTGAGCATTTTTACTCTACTTTTAGCTATGACCAAGCATTGAACTCGAAAGTTTATTTTAAACGGACCCAAGTCCCAAGTTTTAAACGGACCTCGGATCCAAGTCGCTACAAGAGCGAGAGGCAGGAGACATTTCCTTCAACTCAACATGCTCCCCTTTTACACCTCGACGTGAATAAGACAAGGAGTGCATCTCAGGGCCAGGTTGTAGCCCTGCATGTGGCTGGTATCAATGTGACTGCTTCCGAAACGACTGTTGGCATGGCTGCGCAAAAGGATACGACAATGGAAAGCATGTCTCCAGTCAAGAAGGGCCGACCTCCAAAGAGGATTAACTCTACGAAGATT